ATGGTGATGTTTGGGAAGGAATGGGGGGAGGTCATGATAGGGGTAATGTTTGGAACTGGGGAGGTCATGATGGTGATGTTTGGAATGGTAATGTTTGGGAGGTCATGATGGTGGTCATGATGGAATGTTTTGGAGGTAAGGAAGGTCATGATGGTGATGGTGATGTCATGATGGTGATGTTTGGAGGGAGGTCATGATGGTGATGTTTGGAACTAGAATAGGGAGGTCATGATGGTAATGTTTGTTGGAGGTCATGATGGTGTCATAATGTTTGGAGCGATGTTTGGGAGGTCATGATTGTGAAGTTTGGAACAGGGAGGTCGGATGGTAATGTTTGGAACTCTTAGGTTGTGATGGTAATGTTTGGAGCGAGGAGGTTGTGATGGTGATGTTTGGAACAGGAGGCGTGATGGTAATGTTTGGAATAGGAGGATCATTGATGGTAATGTTTGGAACAGCGAGGTCATGATTGTGATCTTTAGAGTTGGGAGGTCATATTCGTGATGTTTGGCACTGATCTTTGGAACTGAAAGATCATGATGGTAATGTTTGGAACAGTGCTGTCGTGATGGTGATGTTTGGAACAGGGAGGTCGTGATGGTAATGTTTAGTATGGGGAGGTCATGATGGTAATGTTTGGAATGGGGAGGACGTGATGGTGATGTTTGGAACAGGGAGGTCCTGATGGTGATGTTTGGAACAGGGAGGTCATGATGGTGTCATAATGTTTGGAGCTGGGGAGGTCATGATTGTGAAGTTTGGAACAGGGAGGTCGTGATGGTAATGTTTGGAACTCTTAGGTTGTGATGGTAATGTTTGGAACGAGGAGGTTGTGATTGTGATGTTTGGAACGGGGAGGTCGTGATGGTAATGTTTGGAATAGGGAGGTTGTGATGGTAATGTTTGGAACAGCGAGGTCATGATTGTGATCTTTAGAGTTGGGAGGTCATATTCGTGATGTTTGGCACTGATCTTTGGAACTGAAAGATCATGATGGTAATGTTTGGAACAGTGCTGTCGTGATGGTGATGTTTGGAACAGGGAGGTCGTGATGGTAATGTTTAGAATGGGGAGGTCATGATGGTAATGTTTGGAATGGGGAGGCCGTGATGGTGATGTTTGGAACAGGGAGGTCCTGATGGTGATGTTTGGAACAGGGGAGGTCATGATGGTAATGTTTGGAACAGGGGAGGTCATGATGGTGATGTTTGGAACAGGGAGGTCATGATGGTGATGTTTGGAATGGGGAGGTCATGATGGTAATGTTTGGAATGGGGAGGTCATGATGGTGATGTTTGGAACGGGGAGGTCGTGATGGTAATGTTTGGAATAGGGAGGTCCTGATGGTAATGTTCTGAACAGGGAGGTCATGATGGTAATGTTTGGAACGGGGAGGTCGTGATGGTGATGTTTGGAACGGGGAGGACGTGATGGTAATGTTTGGAACAGAGAAGTCGTGATGGTAATGTTTGGAACAGGGAGGTCATGATGGTAATGTTTGGAACTCAGGTTGTAATGGTGATGTTTGGAATGGTTAGGTCATGATGTGTGGAATGGGGAGGTCATGATGTTTGAAAGTGGGAGGTTATGATGGTGATGTTTGGGGCTGCATGAAATGGATTGGTGAGTCACGAATGCTGTCAGTGTAAAAGTCTGTTGTACTTGATATGGAAGCCTCATTGCAGACATTGCAGAGTTAATTAACTGAACCAGTACAAGGGCAGGGTTGTGCTAATATTAGCATTTGCTGATGAGTTGCCCACTACTGAAGCTAGTGGAATAATTGATTGTTATCTGATGTCATCACCTATTTACGTTTGTCTACACTGTTTTTCAGCACTTGTGACTAGGTACAGCTGATACTGTGTGTTATAGTGATGTGTTGTTGAATTTGAGATCATTGGACTGAGAGTGTAAGTCACGCTGGTCAAAACAGCAAGACTCCATACATGTACATAAACATAAAATGCAAGGTGTGCTAGGTAGCCTGGTGATGGAAGCTAGTGCTCCATACATGGGTACAATGTGTGAAACCCCCTTTTGGTGTCTCATACAGGAATATTACTGGAATAGTCCTAGTAATAATAATAATAATATCATATTCTCCGGAAAGTTCTTGGTGGGTTCGACTAGGCAGCGTTTCCTGGGAGAAGTCCCATTCGCTGTCTGGGCTGCGTGTAGAGGGGGCAAGGGCCCTGAGCTGATGATGAGCCTTACCAGCCTGACTGTGCCAGGATCACCCAAACCCTCTCTGCTGCATATTATCTTTAATCTGTAAAACATAATAATAATAATATATAGAGATTTATATAGAGCCAATGTCCAGATGAGTCCTGCTCAAAGGCGCTTTCGTATGAGTCTGACAAGGAAAGAGTCACTCGGAACTGTAACATGATTTGAAAAAGAATGTTTTCAACATTCTCTTAAATGCACAGATTTTCTCTGCACTTTTAATGCCCAATGGGATGTTGTTCCAAAGCATAGGACCTGCTTTTGAGAAACATCTGTCTCCAAATGTCTTTGTCCTCGTACGTGGCACAACTAGTAACTGGGCACTACTAGAACGTAGGGAACGGGAGGGTTGATGGCACTGGATCAGTTCATTGATGTATGATGGGCCAATACCGTGAAAAGCTTTGTATTCTAGCACATGAATCTTAAATTCTATCCGTTTGACTATTGGGAGCCAATGCAGATGCATCAGAACTGGAGTTATGTGCTCATATTTGCCGGTTCAGGAGATAACTCTAGCAGCTCAATTTTGTACCCGCTGTAACTTTGCAATTCGTTGTTTTGGTAGCCCAACCAAGAGAGCATTGCAATAATCCAGACGGGATAAAACGTATGCCTGGATGAGTGATGCAGCCACACGTGTGTTTATTCCTTATAATGTAATATCAACTATGAAGCAGTGTGCAGAGCTTATGTTTCAAGCATATTCTGCAAACAATAAATGAACCCCCATCAACATAATTGGATTTTGGCCAGTAGTCGATTTACATGAAGGCCATGTCAGGTTTTACCGAATTAAAGCTTTTCTTATTATCATCATTATCATACTAAAACTCAGTACATTTTCTCGTGTCCATGTGGGATGGGGACTCTATCCTGTTGCTCTTTGTTTTGGGTAGGTCTGGAGACTGACACTGGAAATTGATCATTATCTCATGGCAAATGTGTTTCTCCAATCCCAACAATGAGTTAGATTTCCACCAGGTTAGATACCAGGCTCAGTGTGTGAAGCCCACCTTTGTTTTACCTGCAGGGATATTGCAGCCTGTGACAAACATGGTTATATCTAACAGACTGAACCTGTATTTCTGATGTGTATTGGGTTTCATTTAAATGATGTAGAACATGGTTGTAGCTGAGCTTGCTTGAGATCTGTGTAATGTGGCAACAGTTGCAGCTGTGACAGGACCATGTACACCCATTGATTCAATCAAGTGAAAGATGCATTGTCAGCATGAGTATAAAACAATGATCACATTCTGTTCGTATCCATAGGGCTGTGTGGCACATCTACACTGATTGTCAACAGAGAAAATTACAACCTACATTGCCTAGTTACTATCATGTTTTACGATATTGTTTACACGTTTACTGTCCCGTATCAGTCTTTTAAGTGTGTAAGTGCAAACACTTTCATTTTTCACTTGGGGCAAATTCACCTCTGAGCTCTGTTTGTCACTTATGACCATGATGACAGTAAATCTGTTACACAGACTGAGTGACCTGGGTCATAGTGGGTCGTCATGACCCTGTGTAGTAGATTGTTGCTCATGCTTTCTGTCACTGGATCAGACTTGGTTCAGACTTGACTCTTCACAAATCATCATGATGCTGGAATATTGCTAACAACAATGGTATCAATTACACAACTTGAATGATGGATGTGGAAGCAGGTGTAAACTCCGCATCAGACAATAAGGTCAGGGCTGTTCCTGGTCGAACAGTTCTCAGCACTGTACCTGCTACCAATAAATGTCAGGTTGTAAACATGGCAAATCTCAGAGCAGTGCAAAGCTACAATTCTACTGCTATTTTGAAAAAAAAATAGAAGCTGAAAGGACTGACTGACTGACTGAGTTTAGTTTTACGCCGCTTTTTGCAATATTCCAGCAATATCACGGCGGGGGACACCAGAAATGGGCTTAACACATTGTGCCCATGTGGGGAAGAAGCTGAAAGGAATAACTGTCCCAAGTGAACTAAGTTTGAATGTTCCAAGTCTTTGCGAGGAACAGATCTTTGTAAGTCCAAGTTGAGACCTATGTTCTGTATGTGTGGTTGTCAACATGGACTTCTCCCAATACTGCTTCAGTTATTTGCTGGAATATTGACAAGTGAAGTTTTAAACGACAAATAAACAACAGTGTTGTCTTAGTGTTGGGACAGACTCACATGAACTGGATTGATGTCACAAGCAAAGAAAGATATCATATCAGGGATTTACAGGACGCGAATTCCTGCGTCCTATACGCATAAAAATTGACAATGGACACAACAAAATTTATTAGCGCATCCAGAGGGACGCAGAAAAAAGTCCAAATACTTTTTGTATAAATTCCAAATTTGCAACTAGCTGGGTTATGGTATCATTTGCAATTTAATTACTGTAACAATGTGATGATCATGATACACAATACAATAACAGTATTAATAATAATATTTAAGTGTCTGGGACCCCATTTTGTAGTCCAGGACCCCTGAGAGTTAAGAATATGAGTCCCAGGGACCCTCAAATACAGGACACGAGGTAAATCCTTGCATATATTTTCAAAAGTGTGTTCAAATTACGTCACATTGACATAGGCCTTGCTCCAAACAATGGAACAGTTAGCACGCGATCCTCAATGACACAAACTCTTAACATTCTCTATGGGGTATATTATAAACTTTAAAAACTGTTTACTCACATAATGCTATTATACTCAATATAAATATCAGCATGTAATGAAACTATCTGAACTGAACTTGTACAAATGTTTGTATTTCAGCAATTTTTGCGCCGTCTTCAAAAAGTGAAGCCAACACGAGGAATGTCCCGCGATGATCAGATCAACCACTACCAGCACACCATGCTGTACGGAGTCCCCATCGCTGCAGGAGACAACCTACTCAAGTCAGGTCGCAGGTCACGACCTGGTTCAGCAGGGTCGATTCTGAGCCAGAGGTCACGGAGCATGTGCAGTGTGACCAGTGCATCAACCAATGCCTCTGCTGCATCTACTATGCGATCTGCAACTTCAACAAGATCAGGTCGATTACCTAAAAGTGCTAAAAGATTTACCGATGCTCGTCCCGAATGGTCAGACCGATGGTAAAGGGGTCACATGATCATGTACATGTTGTATGGTTCTCAGTACTTTTGTAAAGAATCTAGTTTATTTTGAACATTTTAGGTCTGGCCTCAATTTACATGCCAAGTGTAGTTTTGACATATGGCATTTAGTTGCCAAAGGATATGGGTTTTTTTTTCATTATTTTATATTTTTTATAAAACGTCAAAGTAAGGCAGCCCACAATGTTTTATTATTAAATTTGGGGACCATTTTGTCTTATCCTGTTAAGATTAGGAGTATGCCAAGAACACCATGACATTTGTGCTGTATGTTTTTATATATATTTTTTCAAAACATGTCATCTCATCAGATTCGTAAACAAATACAGCTGAGATTCTGACAAAATTGATTTGCTAGAAAAATCATGTGCAGACAAGTAGTCTCATAAGAAATTATGAGATGTAAGATGTAGGATATTTTGTTTGTAGCTTGTCTACATTATCATTCGTTAACGTTGATCATTTTATGTTTTCTACATATGAAACATGTGGTAGTTAACATGGAGGTACATTTGTAGAAGAAACAAACACACAGTACCTCTCTATACAGCTACAAATTTGAAGCCAGTGTTTCCTCTGCTATTAGAAGTTTTCATGGGGATTACAAAGGTAGGTTTTAGGATCATGACAAATATATTTATTCTTTTGTTATCATAATTAAACTTAATAATTCTTATTGTAGTGATCACCTGTATTGATAGAGAGTTATGTCACATGGGTGGGACAGGTTCTTAAGTCAAATGGGTACAATGTGTGAAGCCCATTTCTGGTGTCCCCTGCCGTGATGTTGCTGGAATATTGCTAAAAGCGGCGTAAAACCAAACTCAGTCAGTCAGTCGTAAGTCAAAGGAGTTAGTACATCATGTGAGGTATTTTCTCAACCAGTCGGTTTATTAATGTCTCACCTTCAACTGTTATACCAGGCTCCTGGAACACCCAAGGGTCGTAGACTTAATATGTGTCATTGTTAACCTGTGTTTTCTGTACATAGTATTTCTAATGGTAATAATAGCTATAATAATATTATAATAATAATACCCATCTTTAGTGCAGACTTTAATACTCTGCTAGATAGTTGAATAGTTTCAGTGATATTTTCATATCTTTGTTTCATATCCGTCCAGGTGAAATCAGGTTGAATTCTAGGATTGCAATGTCTGGAAAATTATTTTTCATTTGATTGATATTTATGGTCCACAACTGTGGAACAAACATATCATTTAAGCAATGGCTGTGTACTAGTTATAGACTTCATCGTCACCAGACACATGGTTCTCTAAGTACATCTACGTGAGTTGAGGTCACATCAAGTGTTTTCAGTATGTTGTTATTTCCCTCAGTCAAGCTTACCTGTGGAAAATAAGAATAAGAGGAGTTATAATTGATTTCTTGCAACATTTTTAATATCTCAGAAATTTTGATATCTTCTAATCCAGTTTCTGGTAATTTGTCCTGGCCTGTCGTATATACTGATACCATCTGTTATTGTTCCCATGGTTACTGAATCTAAAGACTCATTTGTGCCAAGTACATTTGTCACGGCATTAGAAATTAACACATGCTTTCCTAAGTACTACAAACCCTGCTGGATGGTTGTATCTCAGTGGAAAGTTACCTGAGCAACCCAGCCATTTTGTTTCTAATTCCTTGATTAAACATCATCCAAGCCAAAAGTTGACAAATGTGGAATTCAATGTATATATGTTGGATGCAGTCTAATTTCTTGCCTCTAACTCAGAAATAGTTTTTGCCACTGATTACAAATGAAATACACAATGCCATTTAGAAAGTGGGCAAATGTAACATATGTTATATTTGGGATTACACTTTCTTAGTAAAGTACAGATTCTAGTACTTTTGTTAGGCTGAGTTCCATCCGGGATTCGAACCCACACCCTCAGAGTCAGGCACCTAATTGCCAGCACACAAAGTCAGACGCCTAGACCGCAAAAATCTACAAAAATTGAAGTCGGACAACTGGTAGTCTGGATTGCAGACTTTTGTGTACCCCTCTTATATTGTGTATTTCATAGCTTTCGGCCATGGGAGCCGGGCCAATTAACACTTATCAGAGGGGTACACAAAGTCCGCAGTCTAGACTACCAGTTGTCCGACTTTCATTTTTGTGGAAGCCACGGTGGCTGAGCGGTCTAGGCGTCTGACTTTGTGTGCTGGCGATTAGGTGCCTGGGTTCGAATCCCGGATGGGACTCAACCAAACAAAAGTACTAGAATCTGTACTTTACTAAGAAAGTGTAATCCCAAATATAACATGTTACACTGACTACAAAATCTAAAAAAACAACTTTATACCAAGTAATTAAATAGAAGGAAGTCATTACAGAAAAGATATTTTTGGCTTTGACATTTGTCACCACCAAGCAGAAAACATAAAATAAATGGAAGAGTAGCTTTATGTACATCCAGGCAGATGACAGAATCAGACACATGGCTGTTGGAGTGTTAATTTCCTAGGCTGGGATCACATGTTGTATGTATGTAGACATTCACATGATGACTAGTGCTGTTTAGGCTAATCATGCATGGATCATTGCATTATCTGGAAATAAACCGAGGATGTACAGTGGATGTAATACCTGGTCTATTTCAGTATTATTGGCTTGTCGTGTTTGGTGGCCAGGGTTTTACCATTACAGGGCTTTCTGAATATATTCTCCATATTTCAACACAGTGTTAATCACCTGATCAATAGTGTTATTTCCAGGAGTCAATATCGGGGAATAAGTTTGTGGCATTGTGACATTAGCGAGGGTGCACATGGGAGGGCTTTGTCAGGAGGTCTTAGTCAAGGAGGGCTTAACAGATACAACATAGAAACTTTTAGGGGGTCAATATCTGTTTTTATGGACTAATAAAAGACAGTATTGATCAAAACAAATGTTCAATAAAAACATTTTGTCATGTTCTTAACTACAAGATTGACCTTATAAAGAATCTATATCTTATTGGTTATATTGAACTAAGACATATCCAATAGTTTTGTTCTGCAGATTTGCAGATCTGCATTGAAAGAACAGGATATTTTTCCTTTGTATTCCTGTTGCTTTGTAGTGACATTATTGATAGTGCCTGTATATATTTCATGGACTGCCATCATGTAATTGATTGTCAGCCAATAGAATAATTACATTACTCCATGTCAGTATAATCTTACCTCATTTGGGCCACTAGTTTAACATTTGGATTCTTAAAAGGTTCAAATTCCTTCTTTTTTTCAAAATTGAAATCAAAATGATGACTATCAACTATATTTTCATGATATACAAGCCAATTTATGAACTAAATAGGCGAGATGAAATCACAAGAGGTTTAATGAGGTATGACCACAGGTGTCTGACAAGTCCTCAGGAAGCCAGCACTCTCCACCCTCGTTAATGAAGGTATATATCAGCTGATCAATATCACTGATTAGCTATTGATTATGCATTCTCTCCAGGTATTGTGAAACATTATGTCACACTACACAGGCACATCGATATGATCGAGTACCAGCCACAAGTGAAGCTTTTCAATTCCAATGACCCGTTCCTCCACGCTGCTGCAGATGTTTGAATAATGTCCACTGTCAAGTTGTACTTGCTTGAGTCAGCTTGTGTTGGTTACCTCAGTGTTTACTGATCAACAACATTGTTGTGTGGATATAGAATGACATTCAGGCTGAAGCAATACAGTTATTGTTTACAGCATTTTCACTGTATAAGCAGTTTTATGTAAAAAGTTGAAAACATGACAAATCTTTTGTTTGCCTCACTTTAAACAGATCATTCAAATTTCAGAATGATTTATGGAAAAGTAAACCTGAAACTGAAATACACTTTCTGCATGTGTGTTTTAAGCAATTTTAATCGGTTTCTAGTCTGTAGCAAGGGTTTTGGACGTAACACTGTTCATTACAGCAATAGCGATACCATTGACTTCGTGATTTACTGAAGGATATACGGTAAATTGTGGATCTGTACAGGTGACATGTAAAACAAAGTTAATCTTGCAAAGAGATGATAAGGTTAAGTTGTAAATATGAAATTCCATAATTATGTTTATTAAGTAATCGGCCAGTTTGTGAGATTTTTCAGAGTATATTGAGAACGAATGATCCATACTGATGGCGAGACCATCATGCTTGTGTTATTGTATGGTTGACGTACACATGAATAATTTATTGAAAGTGTTTGGTAAAGTGGTAAGATTCTGTGCATGTGTAAACACATGCATTTTATCTTTTGAATATCTGAGGGAGCTCTTTTCACAAGACATGGCCTGCAAGGAATCAATTCTGGGGAACTTGAACATAAAGCGAAATACATTGTGTTGCCAACTAGACAAATGTGTAATGTTATAAAAACTAAGACTTCAAACAGAAACATAGACTGATTCACATTCTTTCCATACATTTTGCACATAAAGATAACAATACGTTGTTTTAGAAAGTCCAGGAGGCTTAGGTTTCATACAGTATGTACTTAGAACTAGAACCTTAAAGCCCAAGGTGGAGCATCTATAGTGTCTAGTTAAACTGGGTTGATATCGTGCAGAAAATTGTTGAAAAATGTATCTCAAATGTCAGATGGATAGATGGTCTTTGTTGCAAAAATTATTTTCCATCGAACTGTACAGTGTATTTTTTTTATATGTACATTTTTTTCAAACTTCAAAATATATAGCTTATAACAGTAAATAATTCAGAATGGCCTGATTAGTACATTTGTATCGGTTGTTGTCCATGGCTCATTACTAGGGGATGCTGGTAGTTTCAGTCATTTGGTGACATTTGTAGAGCAAGCAGATCTAGCATGCAAACTGTGTTTGAAGGCAAGGTTATATTGTTTCTAGTTGGTCCATGTATAATCAGAGAACTTTGCCTCATGGTGGTATATTTGCAATTTTATTTTGTCAGCTTACCTCATTTTGTATTATATAGACAGTTTCTCCTGCTATTGTTATACTGTAAACTGTCAGCGATGTAAATATTGTGTGTAAATATATATACATATGTGTATAGTAATATGAGTCGTGAAGCTTGAAGTATCATGTGTTGCAAGTCTCCAAGAGGAACTGGATCCATATAGCAACATCCAGCAATGGATCATTCAACAATGGTGTCACTCTCTCTCTCAAGACATAATAAGTATGGGGATGCACATAATCACTGATGGATGTTGAAAAGAAACATTGTTACTCCAGAGCTTGTTAGTGTGTAAAAAACATCAGGTAGACAATTATCTGTTGCCAGGCCAATTTTATTTGTGTTGTGGTTAAAGAAAATGAAACCCTCTATTCCCATTGCTATTTGCTAGTAGCTTGTCGGGACCTGTTGTCTTGTTGTCAGATGTATTTTTATGTATATTGCCTCCTCTACACTTCCCTTGTCTCAAGGTTGTGAAGTAGTGTCTAAGTGGGACCTGATAGTTAGCAACTGTCGACTCAAACCACTCCAAGATATTTGTTAAATCAATGAGAGGTCCTGTGGTTTGATGTCGCATGTTGTGTTAGTCCTGTAGGTGTTGAAGCCCAGAGCACCTGTCTGTTAGCCTGTGCCTTACTCCATGTGAGTCAACCGTTCATCTTACGTGTATCTAGGACAGTGCCTGTAATGTGTTATGGCAGAATAAACCAGGACAGTACAAGGTGTGTTTGTGTCTTCAGTCAGCCAGTGGGGTCAGGTTAGATCCTCAGTTTACAAATGTGGATCAGGTGGTTACAGATGGTCACCTGGCTCCTACTGTATTATCCAGTGATTGACATCATGAACACCACCTGTTCCCTTTAGTCAGATCTTGTGAGGAACTAGTGTTAACATGGATCTTCACACGGCCCAGTAAGTACATCCCTGGCCGAGGGGGCGGTGGGTAAAGCGTCCGCTCGTCACGCTGAAGACCCAGGTTCTTTCCCCAAAATAGGTACAATGTGTGAAGCCCATTTCTGGTGTCCCCGACCGCCTCCGTGGTGTAATGGTTAGAGCATCCGCCCGGAGAGCGGAAGGTCGCTGGTTCGATCCCCGGCCGCGTCATACCAAAAGACGTTAACATATGGTACTTGTTGGTCCCTGCCTGGCGCTCGGCATTAATGGGTACAAACAAGGACTAGTCGGCTCGGGAGTCAGTATAATGTGTCTGATTGGGGTATTCATGCTTCACTGCGGC